ATATATATATATATATATATATATATATATCGAATTCCCCACACCTCCAAGTACTTGAACTGCGAGGGACATTTCCGGAGATTGCACACTGATAGATGGACACTTTGTAGATGCTTGCGTCTTTTGCTCGTCACCAAAGATCAAAGCGATGTTCTTTGCATCAATGACATTCTCACCAGCATTAGACTGTACTTCACTCAAAGAGTGCACCCGGTACTTCAGACTAAAGTGGCTGGTGTTACGCACTCCGAGTTACCGCCTGGAGAGACGAGTAAAAAAATCCTTCAGCTGTCGCACCCTTCCGGTGCCTAACTTCCATGCCATCCCAAGGTTGCACGAGAACTGAGATATTGTCAGGTTGCCCAAGCCTAGACAGGGGAAGTCGACTGGCGGAGGTCGGATTCGAACCACGGACCTTGCGGTCAGTAAATTCGCGCTCTAACCACTTGGGCCGTCTCGCCCGAGTGCTGTTTTTCGTGCCTTATTCTCAGCGACAGAAACCTATAGGTGGACAGAATTCGACATGGTAGAAGGGACTGAAGAGTGTTGCGAAAAATCCGAGTGATGTTGGTGCTATTCGCCCTGCACGATGAGGTCCACTTGACCTCCGGTGTGCTTGGTTAGAGATAGTGAACGATACGGTGGCTCACCGGTGTCAGCGGCATTCATGCTGTTAGTTTCTATCCAGATTGTTTTACTGAGTGCCGGAGATGAAGGCACTTCAATTATTTGGGGTAAACTATCCCTAGGTGCCCCTCCCTTACCCATATTGTTCTTTCGATTGTAAGGCTTTATTGTAATAACTTGGCATGTTTTTACGGCAGTAAAGCACCAGTGTTCTCATCTGGTGTTGCTGCAAATGGTGCCACTGCTGATAACCAACAATAACTGGAACATGGGGCCCTAGGAGACCTTTCCGGGGTTTGCCTGGTTATTTCATGCATGATGAAGCTGGACGAAAACGAATAGTCCGGACATTTTCTTACCAGCAGCGTTTTCAAAGCTTCCCGCACACTCATACACAGAAACACGCGAACATAAGAACTGGGTTATGTTCATGAACTTGTGAGATGTCCAATGTTGGTTAGAAGAACTGAGGAATTGACAAAATTAGACGGGCCATTGGAATCGACTTAAGACTTGGTTGCCAAATTCACTGGGAGTATTATCTGGGGTTGGACACTATCATAGACTCATTCCACTTGTCTGGGATGGTTCATTTCTACCGGAAAGACGCACATGAATTCAACAGGCGCTTGGTGAGAAATCGCTACCACCCATGTTTATGAGCTGGTTGAAGATCGCTGAGATCACAGGAAACACGGACCAAATGAACCAGGTCCGCTATAAATTGTTTCCTACGTTTACTAACCTGTCGATTAGGCCTGTCAACCAACCCAAAGCATTGGTTGACGATCGGAGTGGAAAATACTCTGCTTGAGCATCTTTTCTTCATTTGAGTGGATATCACAGTAAACGTGAGCAGACTTGCCTATCCAAACAGAACCACTCAGCTCCTACTTAAGTTGCTTTTTTACGAAGTTCACAGACGGCTGCAGACATCGATCCGAACATTTTTATCCACCACTGGGGAGTGCACCACCACTCATCATCACCTTATCATGGTGTTCTTCAATGATTATGTGGGTTGCGTTGGTTATAGCCCATTTCCTTCCTCAGTAAACCAACGGAGCACAGTTTCATATTAATCGAAGCAGTGACAGTCTCTCTCCCCCAAAGATGATCAGGTTAGAAAGTCAAAAAGTTCACCGTGATCGCCGGCGTTCGAAAACGAACAAACCACTATGAGCTCAAAGCGGCATCAAATGAATTTGCCATGTGTAGCGGAATTAAAGTCAGGCATTTATCCCCTATTCTCTTAACCCTTGGGCCAAGCAGCCCTCCGCATACAAGAGGTTCAAACAATTTGACCGTTGGCTCTAGGCAGAGTTGTTGAACAAAAGTCCGTATAGTCCCATTGCATTTCGGGTCAAACTTTGGAGTCAGAAGTCCAAGACGGAGCATCTCAACCAAACCTTACTGTCCGAGTGACCGTGAATTATCGTTCGCCCTTGCATTTCACTTTTCACCAACTATTTCCCACAGCACACCCAACAGTGCTTTCTTGTTCCACGTAGCTGTCAACCACTAAACCGTTTAACTGTATCCCGATGTTTTAGTAAAATAAACCGAAAGTCTCCTAAAAATCCAGGGTATCTGTTCCACATTGCGGGCTTTAGTTTCCTTATTCTGTGAAATTGATCAACAGACGTCACGTTGCTAGTCTTTTTTCGCCTTCGATCGATGTGTTTTTTCGTGTTTCGAAACGCGAAAAGTGTGGCTTGGGTGGAACGAGAGGTGGAGCAGAGGGGTATCGCAAATTACACACTTTAGGGCAACCGACTGCGGAATTCTCACCTTTTTTGATCGTACACTTTCCCATTTGGGACGCTCTCTTGAGGAGATTAAGTAGTAACGGTCGAAACCGAAGGAAATCGTTCTCTCGCATCAAGCTTTCTAAAGTGAATCTAGTCGTAAGGTAAGATTTTTCTCTTTACCACCCGTGAATTTGGTTTGAAAAAGTTTGATTTTCTAGTTATTCATCAAAAATTGTGCATTAGTTGTTAAGGCCATTGTGATAATAATCTGTTTCGTTTTGCAGCCTAGATGACAGACACTGAAGCTGTGCCCATCAAACTCATAGTGCTGGGGGATTCCGGAGTAGGAAAATCAAGGTACCTCATGTGAATCACAACAGACGTTTTGCTGCATTCCAGCCTAATCAGACGCTTTGTGGAAGATCACTTTCAACCTGAAGAACCTGCTACCATTGGATTCGATTTCAAACCGTTCACTCTCATGATCGACGGTGAATTAATTCAGTTTAACATTTGGGCAGGTTGTATAACTTTAACTTCACTTTGTGGTGCAGGATACTGCGGGTGCTGAACGCTATAGCGGCTATCTAACTCCTTCATTCTATCGAGGTGCAAATGGTGCATTCTATGGTATGTCCAGTTAACCCTGACATTCCAACTTGTGGCATCAGTGTACGACATCACTTCAAAAAAGTCCCTCAATTCGGTACACTACTGGATTGAACAAACAGAACAGTTCACTCACACTTCTGTGATGAAAATGCTGATAGGCAACAAAGTCGATTTGGTGAGTTTGTGGCCTTAGACTTGTGCCAACGTATCACTCGTATTTTAGGTTGACCGAGATGTTTCCAAGCGTGATGGCTCTGAATTTGCCAGACAGAGTGGGATGATGTTCTTAGAAACCAGCGCCAAGACCAGCGAAAATGTTCGTGATGCCTTCATCGAGCTAGCCAGAAAGGTATATTTTTGGAGTGCAACTGAACGTTTTTATCTCCCGGTGAATTTTCGAATTTGTGGTAGAGAACTCGTAAAGAACTTTCCTATTTGGCCTCATTATACTGTGCTGCAGTTCAATATTTAGTAATTGACCAGGTGGCTGTTGATCTGTTCGCCGAGCTTGGCAGACTTGCAGGCCTTTCGTCACCATCCGGGCAGACATCTTCAGCGCACTGTTGGGTGGGTGGTCTCTCTCCGTGCTTTCGCTTATGTAGTTTGCAGAGAGCAGCCTTGAGTTATAGCCTAAGTGAATATTGATAACCATTATCTCACTTAGAGTCCTATGGATTCGATCGTGATTTTTGTTACGTGGTGGCCCGTCTTCTTGTTGTTTGATTGGTTGGTTGTATATTTTCCATCTGACTTCATCCTGGTTGATCCATATCCAACTGGCGGTAAAATGTACGCGCCTGGCTGGTTGATTTGCAGTGGGGCTTCGGCTATTTTGACTGTTTTGATAGTCTGATTCGATTATCCTCGATGGGTGCTGTAAATGCCGGTCCAATTAAGTCGCCCTTTCAACCCGGATTTCTTTTCGCAAGTCAATCGGCAGGCTCGGCGAACGGATCAACAACCACCTCGTCAATCACCAATCGATGTACCCGAGCTAACAATGTTCCATCACATTACTCCAATATTTTTTCTTTTGGTTCTATCACTGTTTTGATTTTTACAATCTAGTGCTGGTAATAAACGCTGGTGCGAGTAGCGAATCTTTCCGAATCAAGATGTAACGCTTGAGCCAACTACATCATCCGAAAGCTTCGTCTTCATTTTTATGAATGATTTTGGTTTACTGTTCTGTTTTCTCAAGACCCACGGGGCGTGCTTATCCTCAATTTCCCCAGACTGATCTGAGACAACAAATAGCACAATAAGTAGATGTTTATCAATATTCAGTAGGATGCGCTTTTGTTCTTCAATTTCTCGTTTTGTGGATTCGTTTCGAATCGAGGTAGACAGCACGGAAATGATTTACCGAAGTTACTGTCTATCTTTGGTGATATACTCTGAGTGGATTCGGTAATTTTACCACCAAAAAAAGACGTTGAAAATACCTAGAAAACGAACATGTTTTCTTGAGTAATCACTAGACTTCCAAGGCGGTCATTGTTGGCCATCCGCTTCAAGAGAGACTGGTTCCGTCAGTGACTTTTGGCAATCCCGAAGATGCTACCCCAATGGGTTACGATGGGCCTGCTGTAGTTCTCACTGTAGTTGCAGGTCTCTCAGACCAATACTTATCACTGAGGCATCACTACCCTACGCAACTAACTTAATGGTACACAAGTTGTTTTCGGTGGTGTTTCAACCGACTGGCGGTGGGTGGCAGGCCTTCGCATGCACTCTTGCCGATCCTATTCTGTTCGGTTGTGATTGCCCTGACGAACTTACCTTACGCATTGTCCCACTTTAGTCACTGTGCCAATCGATCGTACTTTATTGAGTACGCAGAAGCTCCTAGTGAGTCAACCACCTCCGACGCCAGTAATTTTTGACGTACCAGTGACTGTACATTTGCCGTGGCCAGTTTGTAGTCAACGCAGGTGATTATATTAGCCTGAACTTGATGGTTTTGATTTTTTTTATCACAGATCCTTCAAGATCCGGAATTCCGCGACGCTCATCCTCAAAAGGGATTAACTCTGGAATCCAACGTGCCTGTTCAAACGAGTGACAGTTCCTGTGCCTGCAGAACCATCTATACAAATAACTGTGTTCGTTTTTTGGATCTCACTACTTGATCTTTATTTGGAGCCACTGGGGTCAGTTAAGTGGACGCAGGTGCACAACATTGCTGTAACCTACCAGCAGAAATGGTATCCCTGTATGTCTTATTCACACCAGATTTATTGTTTCTGATTTGTTGTATACTTTTTCATCTTTTGGCTATGACGCTGATCGCAATTACTTTCCGCCCTTTTTCCTTCTCGCAGACAAATGGTTACTTCTCTGTATGTTGAGCCTTCTGCTTTCAAACGTTGGCTAGCGTTTTGCAAATGTCGTAACGGTTCGGGAAAGGCGTTCTGTTCTCTTGGTGTGTAGTTAGTTTCAGAAGAAGAATGAAATATCTCAGCCACCGTTGGCTTTTGTCAGTTATCTTAGAGTATCTTTAGGATTTTTAACTTCTACACCCCGGCGGGTGAAGTTCGAGTGTCCAGTCCTTACTCATCGGTACTCGAAGGTGAAGGATCGAAAAAGCCACTGATTATTCATCGTCATTTGAGAGCGAGTTTCATCACCATCGTCATCATCACAATCGTTAGCTGTAAAAACCGCGCACTTGCCCTACTGTGATTATAGCCGACACATCCAACGATTATTTGGGGAGGTGGGGTAGATAGCTACGCATTGGAGGCGCTAGCTGATATAATTGGTGCGAAAACACAGTGGTGTCAGTGGACTTTTCGTTGGAGAGATCGGTAGGGAAGTTGTGCATTGAAGGCAACGGCTCGGATACATGAGCACCACTGAGGGCGCAACTGGGCCACATCTGACAATGTACGTGGTAAACCGCAAGGCAAACAACTGCTAACCAGGATGTTACGTTTATCGTTAGCAAAGTTTGCACACCATTCTGACGGCCCCCTAAGTTTTGCTTCTTTTTAGAAGGATGCAAAGGGCGGAGCAAGCTCTCTAATCAGGCAGCTAGTTCCATTTTAAGAGATGGATTGCAACAAGTGATGTCATATGATAACGACAGTTGATTGCTATGGCGATTACGCCTGGATGGTCGTCCCTGTAGGCACTCAGCGGGGTTGTCAAGTTGACGGATCACAACAACTAACAGCTAGCTAGTGCTCATGGAACTAGTACTTTGGCAGACTCAGTTTTCCAACTCAATTCGTGGTTTCCTGAGCTACAACCTAGATCAAGTGTCGAAGCATACGCAATCCGACCGCTCCTACCCGCACCTCCCACAAGTGATCTTACTTCACTCGCACGCCATTACTCTCACCCATTGTCAGGAATTCTGTCCGTTATCTTTATTCAGGTGTGCCTGTGAGTCCACTCTCGGAATTTACGGTAAAGTAATCCTAACAAGATGTGCAACAATGATTCTACGACTAGGTGCGCTTTCCCTCGATTAAGGTGAGCACGAACTGCTTCGTTGTCAAGATCCTCTTGCAGGGGCTAAAGACGGGCCAACGTGATACACACTTCTCTCAGTTACTGTGATCTATGATCCTATCCGAGCTTGCCCATGTCTGATTGATGCATAGTGGATAGCAAGGTGTTGAGCATGTTACCATGGAAAAAGCTAAACCTACTGGGTGCTCTGGAGTTACGGGAACATGAAGACAGCATAGGGGTATGTAACGGCCATCAGTAAGATGAGCGAGCATTACTGAAACGCCCTATTGATGACTTAAATGCTACGTTTTTGCTAAAAGAACAGCTACTTCATGGCTGAAGCGTTTTCCGGAGATGGTTTTTATGAGAGGTGGATATTAAATCCATTTGGAGAACTGAAAATCACTGCTTACGAGAGGTGGTTCGTTTGCGGTGGGAACTTACGGGGAGGACTACACATTCTATCGAACTGGGAGAGTTGGTATCAAGGTTCAATTTACTCAAGTTAACGAAGATTGACTTTTTTTCAGGGCTGGAGTCTCCAAAGTATCACTAAAATGCTTTGTCTTTCTTTGACTTGTCCTATCCTACCTCACCTCCAGACTTGGTAAATCCAAGACTGTACATTCCCACCTTCAGTTTACTCGTCAGATAGCCCCTTCTTCCATGGTACCCGTCGCTTTGGTACTAGGTATCTGTGTTCTTAATTCTTACAACAATGTATATATTTCTTCTGAACTACCAGTAGTTCTTGTTTTTCATAAGATCTGATTGCCCCTCAGTGATGCACCGGTCGTCCACGGACCATCCCCTTAAAGAATTGCTCGGTACACCTTCAGGACGTGTTCGTTCATGGCCGTGTATCTTCCCGTCCCAGTTGACAAATCGCCAATGTTTTGTCCTGTTAGTCACTTGCTAGCACCCTTAGATATGTGAGAGCCGATATCTACGTCTGGACGATTTTTCGCCTTACTAGTTGTACAGAATTACCTTGTCTGATTTACTCCGATTGGGTATTCCCGTGAATCATCAAATCGACCTTTTTTATAGGTTTCACGGCTGGTTTTGTGCGCTCCATGCATTCGAATTGTGATTGGTTGTAACCCAGTACTTTTCTGTTTAACTCTAGAATGTGGGTTCGAAATTCAGGTCACTGTACGTTAACTTTTCTCCGCGAGCACTTGAGGCAGCGTTAAAAACATCTTCCGTCTTGGTGGAATAACTGGGAAGAAGGCGGACTTCAGGTCAATTGTTGGAAGTAGTTTACATTCATGGTGAACGCAGGACCTTCATTTTTGAAAGAACTATGTTTCTGCTGTATGTTATCGTCGAGTGGTCGCTACTCTCATCTGGGATTCCTGATCCACAGTCGTATTTCTTCACGAAGAATCCGGTTGTTACTTTTGAGTGTTTTCGTATTCTGGAATCGGTTGTAATCCTTTCACAGTGTCTCCATTTAGAGAAGCTAACGAGGACACCGATCGAAGAATTATCGCGATGCGAAATAAACTCAGTTTAGAAGGAAAACTACTCACGAGATTGCTGAAAACTCTTCGACAGCCCACGACCGGTTTCACTCCAAGAAGGGCTAGTAAACATTGCCAAGTTCTTTGATGTATCCGTTAGTCAGAGAGCAAATCCTAATGTGGAGCCCACGACGGTTTCACTCCAAGAAGGGCTAGTAAACATTGCCAAGTTCTTTGATGTATCCGTTAGTCAGAGAGCAAATCCTAATGTGGGTTGCAGTTTCGTGAAATTTCAGCTCTTTTTGGAGTCGTTGTCAAGCGGACGACACAAAGTACATAGCATAAAACCAAATGGAGATACGGAGAAAAGGCTGAAAAACAACGATGATCGTACTTACTACATTGGAACAACAAATTTCTAGATAAATCGCTGGGCCCTGGTGTTGGACTTACAAGGTCTGCAGATGAACCGGGGCTGCAACTGTTTTATGAACGCCCCTGTCGACAAAAGCCAGCAGAAGTTTTGTCATTGTTCAGAGGAATTTCATCCACCAGGCAAGCGGCGGCAACTCAGTGTTCTATCCAGCGAACTGGAATTGGACTGAAGCTGAAACCCATCGGCCTAAAAAACCTCTCACTGGAAAATGCTATTTTTTCATTCCCGAAAGATTTGCTTCTTACGGGCATGTATAGTTCTATATTTGAAATCCTCAGAACGAGTAATAACGTCATATAAGAAACAGTTCTGATGATCCACGAGACCGTCTCTTGTGGATTGAGAGTGGAAAGCCAGTTCTCAATAGCCCGTGAAACAGGGTAGGTAGCAGCGAAAATAATCCTGGGAGTGATTAGTATTAGTTGGTTGACCTCAGTTGGCGGTGCTCACATAACTAGGGGACTATGAGCCGGAACTATAGCTAAAACATCAGAGACGTGTAGATGTGTATTCCACCTTTGCTGTTCTGTCTACATATAAAAAATGCCGAACAACCAAGAGACCACTTGAGACGGACTATTCTCTTATGGAAGTAGAAGAAATAGAATGTTTCTTGCCCGGTTTATTTGTCAAGTGAGCACCCAGTTGTAAAGATTTCCGGAGAAAAAAAACATTTTCCTTATAATTTGCCGTTGGTAACCTTTTTCAGAGAAAACTGCTGCGGTACTTCGTTAGAGGGATTTGACGGATGACAATGTTATGTTGACTGAGAAGGGGGAGTGCTGCTGCTAAGGGTTGAGCCAGCCCGATTAGACCAGCTGTGCATGTTGATCAGATTTGAGTCCTTCCCATTTACATCGGCATTAGTAGCTCGAATATGGCACCGCAATGGGCTCTACGCAAATGATCTGACTTCACCAACTGGGCGTGAGAGCTGCTGAGCTAGTCCGAGTTGGACGCAGGCTGACCAAGCGTTGACAAGTAGCGATCAACTTGTAGCATCATCCTGCGCCTCGTTTTTTAGTCTACTTCAATAATTCGTACCCTAGCCTATCACAGCAAGAATACTTCCATGTATCTGCCATACGAATTTTGCTTACTCCAACTGAGCATCACACGATTATCACGTGAACATGCTTACACTTGACTGACCGTCGCCTTTACATAGAACTTGATGGCGTAAGCAACCAAATAAAGCTTGTTCGTGCTAGTCTGAAAATACCTTCCATGAGCACCTGAGTAATGGTGTCAGGCGTTCGGATCTATTGTTGCTGTCCAACATCTATTCCTTATTTGCAAACACCGATACGCTTCAGTGTTTATCGATTCGCCGGTGCGTGTGAATTGGACCAATTGGGTCTCGGTGCCCTTGACCTTGAAAATAGACTGACAGCTCTGCAGGCGTAGTCAACTATATGATTTGCGTCTTGAATTATGCAACTATCCCGGTAACTGTCTTTACTGACTGGTAAGTACGCCGGTAATGGTTGTTTCCCGTTCAGCTGACTTCCTATCTGTGATAAGGTGTTTTGAATTTCAAGCCGATGATTAGCTCAAATTTTAGAGGGAAAGGTGTCACTGCTTGGCTTAAAGCTCCGTCAAGCTTTGTCAAGGCAGTTCCATTACGTCTAGTGTAATAATAATAAAGTCAAGAGTGGAGTGCAAAAGCAATCGAGCAGATGACACCAGTAGAAACCGATGGAGACTACTGTTTAATTAATTGCCCAAGGCAGGGGCTTTCAATAGGGTATCCACAACAAACTGACTGAAGAAACAGAAGTTCCACGAGATGCTCCCATTTGCAAACTACGTTGTTAATAACGGGAGACTCAAGTGAATCTGGCTGAATCTCCTTTCTGTGACATTCTCCTGCAACTGAATGTGATGCATAAAGGCCGCTTAATGATTCGGTTGGCACGGTACTCGAGAAATCGCAGTACACTTCCTTGAAGGAACGCACTACGCATAACACAGAAGATTTTTCGACAAACGTACGAGTAGTTCGTTGCGTCGGGAATTCAAGTTTCAGCCTATTCTTACGGAATTTCTCCGACTTAACTCTTGTTTCAATTACTTTACATCTAAATTAATTTGCGTATACGTTCAATATCTGGTGCATTTCGGCCTAGCAATTTCGCTCATCATTATGAAAAAAATCACAAACCAGATTAATGATAATTTATCAAAACAGTAGTATTATTATCTAGATGGTTATCCACGATTTCTGCGGTATTCGAATTACTATCGAAACCATCGGGTTTTCTTGGTTTTCTCCGCTTTTACTCAAATGAGAGTATCCTTATTTTCATCGTTTATCACCCAGAACAACCTTCCGACGAATTTAAGATCCGTTTCGTGTTCGTGCTTCCTTCGAGTGGCATGGCACCGAAAAGGCGCTACAGCCGAACGATTTTTCCGAGTCGTGGGGACAGACCTTCCTAGATATCGCAGGTTGTTGGAGTGCGAACATCGATTAGGGCCATCCCATTGGTCCTGTCAAAAGCCGACCTTAAGCTTAACCCAGGACATGCAGCGCTCACTACTTCAACTAGCTTGGCCTCACGATGAAGATTTCAGTGTGCTTGATAATGATCAGCGCTTACTAACGGAGTCAGTCCTTGATGCCTGCAAAAATGCAGTTCACTTTTCTCACTCTCAATGTGCTGTTTGATATGTGACTTTCAGAAGTAGATGAAAGAAGCGTCTTCTGCCAGTTTTTTTTTCATTTTCACAACTTTCCTTTTTCACGGTTGCGGACCTGAATCGTTTTGTGAATTTTGGAGCAGTGTTAAAGTGCTTCTGGACATCATAAACAGATTTGTCAGAATATTAATGAGTGTGTTCGGAGACTTCAGAGCAAAAGCCCTTGAGAATTTCATAAAAAATTACCGAAAATTATAATAGACGTACGGTGTTGTACATTCTATAATACAATCACTTCTATCTGAAGAGGCAATGCAACTCCGTACTCTCTCAGTGCGCCAAATTGCGTTTTACGAGTTTCGTCATCACCTAAGCGATATAGCTCGCTCCACCTTGGTCGCCCAACCACCGATGTACACATAAGTGTGTGTCGTATGTTCGAACGATATTCGAAGTAATTTTTGTTTTCTGCTGAATTGACCGATTCACCGAAGGCCCACATAGACCTTTCCATCTAATACCTTTAGGTTATGGTCATTAGGCGAGTCGGATATGTGCGTCTTTCCAACCCAGCTTACTATCCGCTAAACTAACTGGTGAAACACTGAGTGTACAATAGATCTGTGCAGGCTCGAGAATTATGTTCCCTTTGAAGCGTTACGCGGATCGATCGTCAGCGGACTCAGACTCAACCATCTTTCGCGGTTACATGCACTTTGTCAACACCTGATAGCGTACTACGCGAGGACAATGTGGCATAAGTGTGCGGGTAGCACATACATTTTATTATTTAGTTTGTTTCGGCTATCTGCGTTAGGATGAGCCCACTTTGTGGATTGACTGGATCTCGGCTACCCTAGCCCGACAGAAAATAACTTCGCAGATATCGACCCAGTGTTTGTTCTAGTGTCGAAATCTGATCATTTCACTTGATTGTACTGCACGGCCAGCGACACCCATATACTGTTGAAAAGTGCAGCTGAAAGGAACGACTGGAAACTTGGCAGTCACTCGGGGGAGAATGATCAAATTTACTTCAGTAAAGACCTTGAGACGATCGTATATCAGAGGTTTTGAAATGGCTCGGAGATTTTTCTTAAGGAAGAGTGTTAATAGTTACTATCTGGATTCGAAAAGCAAACAAAATAATCATCTGCAGCATGACATCAGTATTCAACGCTGATGCTGCCATAAACAAACTAAAGAGTAAATTATTTGCAGTGTCAGCTTCTTGAGCCTGCGCACGGCAGGGCTTTGTAGAGTTGGTCACAAGACACAATCAAAGACTCAACAAATGTGAGCAACCGAGGAAGTGGGTGTGAACTGCCTATGTTGTTCATTCTTAAAAATAATTGGAGCTGTCATGAATTATGAGTAACCACAGAAAGCTGAATGATGTGAAATATTTTTCTATAGAGGGGCGTGGATGAATAGTAAGTGATTGAGTTCGCACATGATGCCCTTAGTTAACCATCAATCTGTTACGACTACACGGATGGTATCATCTTAATGATGGACAACAAAACACCAATCGTAACTATTGGCACTTAACTGCCGTGCGGGAAGAACGGAGCAAAGAGACTGTATTGACTAGTTTCAGACAAGCTGCTTAGTGCAGTACGACTAAAGTGATGACTGCAAATAAAATGCTTGGTTGGACTAAACGCAATGGGCTTATGAAGTCCACACCACACTGTTTCTGATGCTATCATGTAGATAGGGATGAAGGGATTTAGCTAGTGTGTGAGATGCTATGAAGGCCATCAGCGTAGCTTGCTTTTCCATGTTCCACCTCAATGTAAAACGCCCCGTTTCCATCCATCAGAGCAGCTGAATTCCGATCAGCTGTGTTCTGGTTCACACTTGACCATGATGTCTGATGAAACATTGGGAGACGCCACAAAGACCCTATCAGTAACTGAACCTGAGCTTCACTCTACATGTGGCAAGTTCACATATTCGACGAAGGTCAGAACTGTTGGTCTTTGGTTTGTTCGCTGAGCTGAGTAATTTGGTTGCAAATGTTTCATCACCAATCGAGCTAACATCACCAGTGCGTAGTTGTGCGTAGCGCACAATTAAATTGCCCAACTCAGCGAACAAGCCAACGACCATCTACGTTACCTGAGCTACCGACATCCTCCTCTTTAGAGGTAATGCATGAGGATCTTCAGTCGTGCGAGTTACCGGATGCCTGAATAAATAGCTTATGCATCATAACGGAATTTACTTGACTGAGAGATTTGGACAAGCAGTTTCGTCATCCAAAGTCTGAGTATACTGTCAAGAAAACCGCAATTCTGTTGTTAGCGAAGACGTGGCTAAGGACCACAGGTAGTCGGATATCAAACACAACGAACACAAAAACGAGTCCCATAACTTTCATGTTAGAGTCGAGTATGTCCGGCTGGTATTTGTGAATCTGCTGTATTTCAGATACAAGAAGCTGAGGAATGAACATTAAACACAACGTGGAGTTAACAGGAACTAATCTTCACTGATGCTGGACCATGTGGTCCAGACGGTCCACGTAGTCTGCTCTACTACCTTTACGGTACAGAAAAAAAGAAGGCTCTCACTGCAGCCGAGGCAACAACGGACGAATTTCATGGTCTGAGATTTTATTTCATTGATAGCAAAGCATTGGGTTTGAAAAATTACAGAGTCTCACATCAAAACACTTGACCAATATCGAAATTCACCTGTTTGCAAACCAATTTGGTTTTACAGGAGACTCACCAAAACCCCAGCTGCATCTCTCATATGTGATTCAGTTGGGTTCCAGCTGAATCTTCTGCAAAAACAAATTGGTTTGCGAATGAGTGCATTTTGCTAATTTCGTGCAATTTGGCTTCGAGTAGAACATAGCGTTGACGAAAATTCGGGGACTGCGCCTACCTGATGAGCCCCAACAACGGCGAAACCGGTCATCGGCTGTTGAGGAATTTTCAGCAACCTTATAAGTAGTGCATTACGTCTTGACTATTGTGTTTTTCGTTAGGTGCAAGCGGAAACACGGCAATTCGACGCAGTGGATTCTTTGTCCGTACTACCAAACCAATCACATAACTGCTTCATTGTCAGACTGCCCTGTGGTCCTATTCAAGACTATGCGAGAGGACTTCTATGTTCTCCAATACAATCGAGGAAGTAAAGAAAGCATTCTTCAATTTGTGGTGGAGTTCTGGAGGCAACATGTCCATAAAATTTATTCAGAAGAGTCGTATTCCTTGAACTGAGATGAATATTGCACTAGTTTGGATTGATCCTAAACTCTTACTACACACAGGCTTCTGGCGGTTTGGCTATTACTGACCGACATATCCTGTTCGGATGCTATGACCCGTCGCTTAGTGCTGCTTATTAGTGGCACACTTCCACTATTAATCACGTTGTGGCAAACCCGGTATACTTTGTACTGCCGATAAACGGCTGCATACCGCTGTAATTTATTGTTTCGTGTCTAGATGAACGAAAAGAATCCCACGACCACAATTGAAGCTATTTTTCCTGAAGTCACCGACAGACCAACAAGAGCTGTATCAGCTGACCGCAGCATCTTGTGTTAGAAATCATAAGCTCTTGCTAAAGTGAAATATGAGCAACACCCTGTTTACAGTGATTACCACCCCGGTAGCAATTCGGTCATGAGCAGCCCGGGAGTATCCTGGTAAAGCGAGTTAAGAGACAGATGTGAAATATGCCCCATGTATAGAGGTTGGAAACTCTTGCTGTCGAATGTCCGTAGATGGAGATGAAAGACACGAATTTGGACAAACTTACGGGAAAGTCGTCATTAGGCAATTCATGGCAGGACTAACGTGACGGACAGAATACCGTAAAGTTCAATTCGATGGAACTGTCGTCCCCTAGTAAAAAGTTTTCAGGTGATATTGTGCAAATGGACCTTAATTTTCGGTATTATTTGTAGACGATTTAGGGATAAGTTCAATTCAAGTCTTTAGATTGCCCTTTTTATAACGCTGTCTCTGTTCACCGTCACCAGCAGTGAGGAATGATGAACTGTACATCATGTAGAGAAATTAAACTTTCAACTAGAGCTAGCGGACAGTCAATTTATTTTGCTTATTAAGGCTATTTTCGTTGTTACTTTCAGCGCTCATCCCACGCCGATACCGCAGTGCAAGTTCGGTTTGGTTCAACAATGTCCATGAAATTGCTCAGGCATTTGTCTTCCCAGAGTGGTGAGTTCACTCGAGGTTTGCTTTGGATCGGACGAGCCCAATATTCCAGCACCACTGAGAGTTTTGATATCGGGATTATCGGAGGTGGGATACTGGGTTTGGCAACCGGACGGGAGCTGCTTCAGCGACATCCTAAACTCCGGCTGTTGGTTTTGGAGAAAGAGTCAGAACTGGGGTGGCATCAAACCGGACATAATAGTGGGGTGATTCATGCCGGTATTTATTATGCTCCAGGTTCACTGAAAGCCAAGTTATGTGTGGAGGGAATGCGTCGAACCTACGAATACTTGGAAAGCCATAATATCCCCTACAAAAAATGTGGGAAACTTATCGTGGCCGTGCATGAACGGGAACTACCTACTTTGGAGGATCTAATGCGTAGGGCTACGATTAATGGTTGTCCTGATGTGGCCCTGATTCCTGGAAGTGCGATTCCTTCCATCGAACCACACTGTCGTGGTCTTAAGGCCATTCATTCCCCGCATACAGGCATTGTTGACTGGCGACAGGTAGCGATTTCTTACAGTCGTGATTGTCAAAAGATGGGCGGTGAAATACGAACCTCACTCGAAGTGACGGAAATCAAAGAATCATCGGAAAATTGCGATTTTCCCATACGCATTGTGGCACGCAGTACCAAAAAAGCGGAAACATTAACGACACAAGTTCAATGCCGCCACCTCATCACCTGTGCTGGACTGCAGTCGGATCTTGTGGCTAAAATGACCAACTGCCCTTCAGATCCCAGAATTATCCCCTTTCGAGGTGATTTTTTAAAACTAAAGTCAGAATACAATCACTTGGTGAAAGGCAACATCTACCCTGTACCCGACCCACGTTTCCCATTCCTCGGCGTACATTTCACACCTCGCATTGACGGGTCTATTCTGTTGGGTCCAAATGCTGTTCTCGCACTGAAACGCGAAGGCTACGGTTTGACAGATTTTAATGTAAAGGAAGCTTTGAGCATTCTGGCTTATCCTGGACTTCAACGCATTGCATGGAAATACTTGAACGTCGGCATGAGCGAACTGCTACGAGCGTTTATCATTCGACTTCAGGTGAGAAAACTGCAGCAATATATTCCTGCGCTCAAACCCGAGAATGTCGAACGAGGTCCGTCTGGAGTGCGTGCACAAGCACTGAATAGAAAAGGAGAGCTGGTTGAAGATTTTGTGATTCATTCAGGAGATGATGCTTTTGGGAGTCGAATTATTCATGTTCGAAATGCACCATCACCTGCAGCCACGTCTTCATTATCCATTGCACGAATGCTGGTTGATAAAGCTGAAGAGCAATTCCAGTTGAAGAAAACCGCGCCCGCATGATGTGTTCACTGCATAATACAGTTATGGTACTGACCGATTCCTAGCAATTCATATGCAATTTGATAGCTATTTTTCTCTAAGTTCTCAGAAGGAAAGTGTGTCCGATTCGCAACAGTTAGGATTCAACAAAAGACTTGCACACGTCTTCAAAATCCCCGTATCTGTCGAAAAAATACTACGTGTTTTGTCACCAGAATATAAACAACCTCTGCAACGCCTGTTTCACTGTTTTTCTTACTTGCAGCATAACTTCAGAATACAGTGAACCACTATGTGGGGCATTGTATTAATCATGCTTTGTCCTTCCTTCGAGGGTAAATCACATGTAGGTCTGTAGGTAGCATTTAGTCCTTTTAACATGAGGCTGAAAATAAGCATAGTTCCTTTCCAAGAAATACACTCATTTGCAAATCAATTTGGTTTTCACGGGAGACTCAATTGAATCTCTCTTTTACGATGTCCTCCAACTGAATGTACTGCACACAGGCCGCCTCATGATTCAGCTGGCACGATTTTCGAGATATCGCAGTATATTTTCATGAGGAAAAATTGATTTGCAAATGAGTGTATTTCTCGAAAACAGTGCAATTTGGGTTGAAGGATCATAAGGTTGACGGAAATTCGGGGACTGCACCTACCTGATGAGCCCCAAGAAGGGCGAAACCGGTCATGGGCTGTCGAAGGGTTTTCAGCAACCTTAAACATTCATGTGGCCCGATAACGAAATATGTCTGTACGGATCAAATAAACCCATGTTGCCCGCAGGGATCATACGGCAAGCAATACGCTTTTTTAACGCCATATCAGACTCAGTCCCACGTAAAAAGACAGAATATTGCTATCGAAGCACCTTCCAAGAGTGGCATCACAAATAACGGGAGGAGTTAATCACCAGAAAACCTCCGACCTATAAGAAATGTTCCACATCTATTGTATCTATAGCATGGATAATTACTCACTGGATGAAGGCATGTGGTAAGAAACAGTTGGTGCCTTTAGGGATGAGCGGGGATTTTTGTGGTTAGTGGATGGCCGTCACAAATTATTTGTATCCCGTCTCAAGGCATGGGGATTGAGTTTAGGGAAAACCACGCCTGTACATACTACCTCGCCTAGTTACCTCTCGAATATCAATAGACTGTGTTCCGGTGACGGAATTTCAGTGATTTCTTGTCAAAACTGTCACCCACCACTTTAGTATCCTAGTGCCGGTGGCCCTCAAAACCATGTGCCGTTTAAACTTTCATAATGCTGGCATCATATGTGACTGTTTTTTTGCTGAGTTGTTGCGACTAGGCTTAGTTGCCTGGTTAGATGATAGTACGTCGCGCTGAAGGTACGCAGAGTTCTACGCAGCTTTGTTCGTAGATCGGAGCCGGAGCTTGGTATGGGTTGATTATGCTTCACACGTATGTGCACGGTCGTTGACTGAGCTATTGAATTGCACTGCAGCGTCATTTCTTCGAGAGCGGTTACCCGTTAGAACCAAAATGATGTGCAAACCAGTGTATTCGACATATTTCGTACAACTTGGACTCAAGTATAACATGAGGTTTACGAAGTCTCGGGGACTGGTAAGTCATAAAAAGGACTGTCGAATATTTATCAGTAACTTTATGAGTCGTGTTTTTTCACGAAACTGTAGTGCGGTATCTCGACTGTTGTACCAAGTGAAACAAGAGGCGACTGTTTTTGGAGCACACTCAATTGAAGGATACTGTAACCGAGAGAGTTTCCCGTTAAAACCAAGAAAGTTTGCAAGTGAGCCTAGTTCGCGGGTGGTTGAGGCGACTTGTGGTTACGTTTTAATTAATCACTTCAGCTACTTGAACCCTGTCGTGTCGGCCAGTTAGTACTCTTAACTTATGCACACTGTGTCAACGCTGTATTCTATGCCTGGAAATGTTGCATAGATGACTAGTTAGCCATGTTAGATATAAATTCCTTCCAAGTTGATATGCCAGCGAGCACTTCCTGACGGCCTAAGCTGTTTCGTCCAGGGACGTAAGAGTGTCTAAGAAACCCAACATTCCATTCGGTGGCACTGCTTGGACAGTTACACCTACACACTACCTAAAGGTTGACCTAGGCTGACCACGACCATCGTAGTCTACGCTATCTCTCTACCGCTGTTGTTGGCTAAACAGCGGTACATATGTAACTATTTCACAGGGTAAACAACGACTGACAGGATTGGCGACTCAAGTCGACGACAGCATCACCTGATATACTATAAAGTACTTTACCTAGACTTTCCGGTAGGTTGTTGTTTATGTTTTGCTCACGTGTTGTCTCGCATAGCTCTCATGTTTGTCTGCATGGCGGCACAGTGAATTGTTTATCGGAAACGCAAGTTTCGCACCAGTCAAAAATTTCGGGCTCTGACAAGTACACATTTCCGTAACCCTTATAATGGTCACAGCACCACCAGTTTAGTGCATCACTTTTGAACAGACGTCGTATGTGGGTGAAAATTCAGATGCTTTATTGTAATAAAATTGAAAAACTGAAACGGTTTCCACCCAGTCTTTCATAATGTCTGGGTTTCGTCGCATCTCTAGTAACGGAAAATTGCCTTTGTGTAATGCTCCTCTGTAGGTCTAAAAAGGGAATCTGTTCTCGAGGTGAATGAAGCTCATTGAATGTTTTTATTGTATTTCCAAAAATAAGCAGTTTTGCCAGACCGCAATCACGATTTGAAGCATTAAATTTATCACGACATTATTGTATCTATACCCCAGGATGAATTCTTGCAGCGCATTCTCCAACTATATCCCCCGAATTCATCGTTTTCTACTCTAAGGAAGTAATTTAGCCACAACGTCGCTTCTCTATAGAATCCGGATATACACAGGACTCTAAAAATGTTAAATACTCCATCTTTTATCTAATTGGATCGACCTGAACCGAGGTTTATCACGATGCCCTCTTTGAAAACTCGGACGTGTGCAACATCCTAGCTCAGTTGTGGGCTGACGTGGAAGCTGACTTGTGCTAGGTGACGTGATTCAGTGAGATATACATGTACGGATATGTACTGCATTCAGTGGTCGATGATGGACAAAACCAACCGGAAAGTTTCTGAAGGCCATTCAGTACTGGTGAAATTTACTCACAAAGGCATAGAACCAAGGTGGTTTAGCAGCAACTGGTAAAACTAGATAAAACTAGTCACAGACAACAGCGTCCATACAATGATATGATCGATACCTTGTAGCTACCCTTCCGCCACATACATGACTGTACAGGTCACCGCCACTTGCTAGATCACGAGATCTATCTTTTTCCCTTACACTCACAAATTACGCCACAGAATCGTGACTCACTTGACTACACAGCTCACAGTCAAGCCCTTGATCCCAAGACTCGCTTTCTTTCCCTCCACGTACAAATCACGGCATAAAGGTGACTCCTCTGACATCGACTGTCTACCGTGCGACAAGGTAGCGACAACCCATCATAAAGGTACAAACTTTGTACTTGAGAGTGCATGGGAGATACGTATTCCGTAAACATTATAGATTAAACTGGAATATGACTTAACCTTTGAGTCCTATTTTTTTCTAACTACAACAGCGAAGAAGACACGAAGCCTGCATCCGGACTTACAACAGGATTTATCAACCTGCACCTGCGGAACGATAAGTCCCTTGTTCGCATATACACCTGTTGTAATAATTTTACTCAACAAGCTCCCCACTTTCTCGTTCATAATACAAGTATTTTTCGGGTTCTAGTCGAGCATTAGCAAATTGGTGAGCCCAACGTTTGTGAACTCACGTAACTTCTTACATTTTTTTCATTTGGACTTTCATATATTCATATTTCTATTCATGTCTGTCGCACCTATGGCTCAGTCACCAAAACCCCCATTGTTAATGCTCTACTAGAACCCGAAAAATACTTGTATGAACGAGAAAATGGAGAGCACCAACAATATCAGCTTGTTGAGTAAAATTATTACAACAGGTATATATGCAAACAAGGGACTTATCGTTTTGCAGGTACAGTTTGATAAATCCTGTTGTAAGCCCGGATGCAGGTTTCGTGTCTTCTTTAGAAAAAAATAGGACTCAAAGGTTAAGCCATATTCCAGTTTAATCTATAATGTTTACGGAATACGTATCTCCCATGCACTCTCAAGTACAAAGTTTGTACCTTTATTTTGCAGATACCTGCCTATCTCAGTGCATGACTGAACTCTTGAAATACTTACAGAGGAACATGTGGTTCTTACAGAATCAAAGTTATTTCCTCACGAACGTCATTCCCGTGAATTTGCAAGATCGATTCACAGAAAATCCTACGTATGGCTTCTGGTTCTTCCTACTAAGAAGCTTTAGGTCTAAACTGTTCCGGTCCATTCATTCACCCTGTTTGAATGGGATGCGTAACACGTGGAGCTGAATTCCTTTACTGCATACCGTCGCTGTGAAACGAAGATTTAGCAGTTGAGCATCTATCAATAAATTTGTGTCTATCATGATGGAATCTCACGGAGAAGCTACATCCCAGGGAAAAAATCGGATCCATTTTTGAAACTGGAAATACAGTTGGCGTTTCATTGTTAGATCTTGAAGCTGAGCATTGTAAATCTGATTTGGGGCAGAGGTCATTCTTAACCACCGAGCTTTACTTTCTCCAAAACTTAACCATTATTGAATAGTTCGAGTAGTAAATACGGAAGCTAGTAAGTTCCTGTTTGTGCCACCGAAATAACTTTGAAGACTTTAATCAGGTTTCCTCATTTATTCATTTTGTCAAGTGAAAATAGGTCCTGGTGATTTAATCTATCTTGACAGGCATCTCTTCGACCTATTTTTTTCACTATTACTCGTTTAAAATAATTTCTGAGCCTGTCCAGCAGAAACAACGGTAATGACGCTCTAAAGAGAAAATCCTCGCCGAGAATAACTACGGTCGGTCAACTGAAATTTCCACTCTTCCGGTTTAGTCATGAATCCGACCGTACCACAAAACGGAACACAAGCTGGGGACAG